CTGATGAGGTCTCCAGGGTTCTCTGTGCAGCTCTCTCTTCTCTGTCACCTGTCCTGTGAACCCCGGCTGCCTCAGTCTCTCCAGGCTCTCAGCCCCTCCCCTCTGCTGGCTTCTGCTTGGGACCCCCACCCACAGTGCTGGGTCCTGGAGACTCTCCGGTCGTGGGCTCACCTCCCTTGTTTCCTGTCGCTCAGGTCATTTGTTGCCTGCTGTCCAGTGTCTTAAAACCCATTGTTTCTTATTTTTTGCCTAGATTTTTGGTTGTTTCAGGTGGGAGGGTAAATCTGAGGCCTTATTGCTTTGTCGTGGTCAGATGTGGCAGTTGACAATGGCATTTTGAAGAGTCCCCTTGGTCTGAGCTTTTAAATCAAGCATAGGAATCCCATCATTAATCAGTTCAGCAATGTGGGTTTCTAAGACGAACTCTTCTGAAACTTTGCTCTTTTTTAAAAAAATCATGTGTCTGCGTATGTGTGTATCTGTGTGTGTGACAGAGAGAGAGAGAGNAGAGAGAGAGAGAGCAGTATTTTTGGAGTCTTTGGATTTCTATGAAACATTGTCATCTTATGAATGAGCTGTCTTGTCTTTACTGTCTTAAGTTGACAACCCCTGCACACCCCTTCACTGCCCTGCAGCCTTTTGCATGAAGACGGGTGACAGTGGGGTTGCTGTTCTAGAATTGAACTTCCTGAAAGTCACCGATGTAGCTGATCTGTTCATCAAGGTGAGATCAGGAATGAGGCCACCTCTCATCTCTGTGTGTTAATAGCAGAGAAATTTGTTCTAATCTGGTTTCTAATAGCCATGAATCAAGCGTGTTCTGTAGCGTTTCGAACACTTAGGGGNTCCAGGGCCTGGAGTTTGTTGATGAAGAGCCCAAGGCGGGCAAGAGGGAAGCTCTGCAGTGACCCTGGCCAGTGGTGTCAGAGTTGGGACTTGTGGCCTGGGTGGTCCTGCTGATAGCCGGGAGGGTAACTGGGAGGGTGGCCAGGCAGCTCCGTGGTAGGAAGTGTGGTTTGGACTCCGGGTCTCGGCTCCCCATGGGGCTGGCCGACCCTGGACCTGTGTTTCACTTTTCCTGAGCTTTGGTTTCCTCACCCTAAGAGGGAGGCAGCAGGTGCCCACCTGGGGGACTGTGATGAGGGTGGACCGTGGGCCTCCTCGTTGGCAGGAGGAGAGGAGCTGGGCCGGGAGGAGGGCTTGGGCTTCCCAGGAGAGCTGGAGGCCAGTGGGCTGGGGAGGGAGCAGGGGGCGCCTCTGAGTCAGCGGCCTGTCCCGGGGGTGGGCTGCTCCTGGTCTGCCTTCCAGTGTGCTCGGGGTAGGCCCTGGGTTGTGCTGGATGTCTGGGCCTGGAACTAGGTGGGGCAGGTGGTGAGGGGGGCTGGTCCTGGTGCCGTGATGGTGGGTGGTGTGAAGACCGCGGCCCGAGATGAGGTATGAAGGTCCCTGCCTGTGGGCAGCACAGCTGGTGGGCAGTGGGGAGGCCAGGAGACCGGGTGCAGAGCTGGTGGGCAGCAGGGCCTTGTGGGCCAGGATGCTGAGGCAGATCGGAGGTCACTAGCATTGCTCAGCTTGGCTGCTGCACAGGCAGCTGCTGGCCTGGTCCCTTCCCCGCCCTCTCCTGAGCCTTAGGGGTCCCTGGTCCCCAGCCCTGAACCAGCGCCCCTGTTGTGCTCACCTGCTGCACTTCTTGCCATTCCAGCCGCTCAGCTGGGAAGCAAGGTGGCCGTGGTAGACTACGTGGACCCTTCTCCCCGAGGTAGGCAGTCCCCATGGGGGCCACATGTCCTGGGAAGGAGGATGGGAGGTGGGACCCAGTTTGTGTACATACACCAAAGTCCTTTGTCCCCTGCTGTCGGTATTCTCTGGAGAGTGTCTGTTTCACGCTGAAGCTGTCATTACCTTAAAGTTCTTCATTATTTTCATTTTTACAACAACTCTGAATACGATTATAGAGAGCAAATTGATGTGGCATCACGTGGGCCATGTTTGAGTTATGAAACAAGAACCATGTAAAGGAGTTCTAAATATAGTAAGACAGGAAAGCCTCCAGCGATCCCCTGAATGTGAATTCAAATGTGTTCTTCCCAACATCCCAGGCACCAGGTGGGGCCTAGGAGGCACCTGCGTCAATGTGGGCTGCATCCCCAAGAAGCTGATGCACCAGGCGGCGCTTCTGGGGGGCCTGATCCGAGACGCCCGCCACTACGGCTGGGAGGGGGCCCAGCCTGTCCTGCATGACTGGGCCCGCCCTCTCCTGAGCCTTAGGGGTCCCTGGTCCCCAGCCCTGAACCAGCGCCCCTGTTGTGCTCACCTGCTGCACTTCTTGCCATTCCAGCCGCTCAGCTGGGAAGCAAGGTGGCTGTGGTAGACTACGTGGACCCTTCTCCCCGAGGTAGGCAGTCCCCATGGGGGCCACATGTCCTGGGAAGGAGGATGGGAGGTGGGACCCAGTTTGTGTACATACACCAAAGTCCTTTGTCCCCTGCTGTCGGTATTCTCTGGAGAGTGTCTGTTTCACGCTGAAGCTGTCATTACCTTAAAGTTCTTCATTATTTTCATTTTTACAACAACTCTGAATACGATTATAGAGAGCAAATTGATGTGGCATCACGTGGGCCATGTTTGAGTTATGAAACAAGAACCATGTAAAGGAGTTCTAAATATAGTAAGACAGGAAAGCCTCCAGCGATCCCCTGAATGTGAATTCAAATGTGTTCTTCCCAACATCCCAGGCACCAGGTGGGGCCTAGGAGGCACCTGCGTCAATGTGGGCTGCATCCCCAAGAAGCTGATGCACCAGGCGGCGCTTCTGGGGGGCCTGATCCGAGACGCCCGCCACTACGGCTGGGAGGTGGCCCAGCCTGTCCTGCATGACTGGTGAGGAGCTGGATGCCATGGGGTTCCCAGGTCTTTTCTTCTGCTCTGAATGGAGGAGGAGGAGGTTTATTCTCCACTTATCCTCAAGGGGAGCATGCTGTAGGACAACCCTGTCCCCACCTCCCCCAAGAGATTTGACGATGTCTGGAGGTATTTTTGGTCATCACTAGAGGGAAGGGTCTGCTACATCTCCTGGGTGGAACCCAGGGATGCTGCTGAATGTCCTATAGTGTGCAGGACAGCCCCACCAAGAACAGTCCCTCCCCAGAGGTCAGTAGTGCAGGAAGCTGCTTCAGTTGAGCTCTTTGGGAAGGACACTGGTGCAGGCTCAGAGCCCATGCAGGCGGGCTGCCACCTGCAAGGTGTAACCTTCAGGATGCAGAGTCACTGCGTCCGGATGGTTGTGGGCCAAAGCCTCCATTTTCCATGAATCCAAAGGCTCGTGGCTCCAAACCTTGGAAAGAGATGGTGGCATGTGGGGATGGATGTCACATTATAGCACCTTTAAAAACACACTCATTTCTTAATATTTCTGTTAATACACTACTTGCATCTAGTAGTCTGGTATGAGACTCTACAGCTAGCACTTCTGTTGTGGTTTCTACGTTTTGTTTTGTGTTTTAACAGGAGGAAAATGGCAGAAGCCGTTCAAAACCACGTGAAATCCTTGAACTGGGGGCACCGTGTCCAGCTGCAGGACAGGTACTGAGCTTTGCCAGGCCCCTGTGGCTGCCCTCCTGGCCTTTCCTCAATCATTTCCTACCTGGACTCACATTTACTGATGGTCTGCACTGAGCACGCCCTGGCAGCCTCTGGGGACTCTGCAGCAGTAAGACGAGGGGTCTCTGCTCACAGGTGGGGACATAGACAAGGAGC